ATTTTAAAAATAATTAAGACCATCTTTCAGTGTGAAAACAAAAGGATAGAAAAAGATATGCCAGAAAATACTAACTAAAATATGCCTGTACACGGACTACTAACAAAGAAAAGCAGACTTTAAGATTTAAAAAAAAAAAAAGACAACCCACCTTATTAGAAAGATAGGTCATGGAACTGGAGAAATGGCTCAGTGATTAAGAGCACTGGCCACTTTTGCAGAGGGCCTGGGTTGGGGTCCCAGCACCTACATGGCAGCTAACAACCATTGGTAACCCCAGTTCCAGGGGATACAATACCCCCTTCTGGCCTCTTTGGGCCCACACACATGTCATACAATCACACAAACACAAAAAATATACATAATATTTTTAAGTGACATAATTAAAAGTTTTGGGGTTTTTTTTTTCTTTTGGTCTTTTTGAGACAGGGTCTCCCTGTAGCCCCAGCTGTCCTGGAACTCACTATGTAGACCAGGCTGGCCTTGAACTCACAAGAGATCTACCTGCCTCTGCCTCCCAAGTGCTGGGATTAAAGGCGTGCACCACCATGCCCAGAGATTATGAGGCAAAGGCTCTCTGAGTTCAAGGCCAGCCTGGGCTATACAGTGAGACCCTGACTGAAAAAAAACAAAACAAAAAGAAAGAATTAGTAAAGTTACACACTATGTGAATAAGTAACAAGGTTAATTTGGTCAAATATGTAGGATCCTGAAGCCAACAGATGAAGAACACATATAATTCTTAATCATGGCTTATAAATCTGACCATCTACTAGGCCATAAGTCAAGTCTCAATACATTAATGATTCAAAATAATAGAAACCATGTTCTTCAATCACAATAGAATGAAGGCAGAAATCTAAAACAAATTATCAAAACAAAAACATTTTGTTTGAGATTGATTGATAGATGAATTTTTAAGACAGAATCTCTAGCCCAGGCTAGCTCAAATTCCCTATGTAGCTGAGGACGTCCTTGACTTACTGATCCTACTGCCTCTGCCCCACAAATCCTGGGATTACATGCATGTATTACTGAGTGTGGTTTATGTGGTACTGGGATCCAACCATGGGTCTCGTCCTTTTCCGGCCTCAACAAGCACTGCCCATACATGGTACATGACATTTATGCAGGCAAAACACTCATATACATAAAATAATAAATAAAGCTTTTAAAAATCCTATATAGGGATTGGAGAGATGGCTCAGCAGTTGAGAGCAACCGGCTGCTCTTGCAAAAGACCCAGGTTGTGTTCCCAGCACCCACATGGCAGCTAACAACTGTCTGTAACTCCAGTTCCAGGGAATCCAATGCCCTCTTTTGACCTCCAAGGGCATTCCATGACATGGATGCACATACCTACATGTAGGCATTACACTCATACACATAAAAATAATAAATAAATAGCAGTTGGGGATTTAGCTCAGTGGTAGACCACTTGCCTAGCAAGCGCAAGGCCCTGAGTTTGGTGCCCAGCACTGGCAAGGGGTGGGGAGCCAGGGGAACTAGCAGGCATCAGGGTTCCTGTTCATGCATTAAGTCCTAGGTCTTTTCTACCACAGTCCTTCCAGGTGCTTGCTGTGCTACTCCATCTCCACCTTCACCACAAAGAGAAACTACTTAACACACTGCTTTGCTCTCTGTGTACTAATTTGTGGCTCTTTGAAAGCTCCTAGCCATCTTAAATAAATAAATAAATAAATGGGGGTGCCAAAAAATCAAATATAAAAACCTATGGAAGGGGGCTGGAGAGATGGCTCAGTGGTTAAGAGCACTGACTGCTCTTG